CTGACAAAGCAGAGTACCTTCATCAGGAGAGACATTTATCTGTGCTTTTCTCTTATATCAAACTTGCAGTTTTTTTCTCGATTATTCTTGCCGTATTGTAATTATTTTACAACTAGTGTAATTCTTAAAAAAAAATCGAAAGCAAGCATGAACTTTGAAAAAACAGAATACCAGTTTTCATCAGGGAAGTACGTACTTTGATATATTTTTGGTTTTCTTCGACGTCTCTAGAAAAAGATTCTTAGAGGGGGGGAAAAAAGCGTAGGTATACAGTTTCTTTGTAAGGCCTTGGAAGGCTAATTCCTTTTAAAAGCATAAATAGTGCTGATTTCCTCTGAAACAATAACGAAGTTCCAGGGAGCAGTGTGTCACAATGGTGTTTCAAGTGCTGATAAAGCTTTCCGCGAGTGTCTTAACCATTCTGCTTTGTGAAATGCGCACAAGCTTTCTTTGTTCCTAGGCTGGTGATACTTTCGTCCGTTAAAAGTGGGGTGCCGTGGAAATGCCTGAAAGTAATGGATACTGGCGAAGTAAATAGGGAAAAAAAATAAAGCGGGAATGAAAACAGAGAAACGCGGAGAGGGGGAGGGCGAGAGGGGTGGAGAACCCGACTAAACGTGAGTCATACCTCAGTGGTGCACAAACTTTTTTTAATTGTACGGCGCGTGCCTGTTCGACCTTACAAAACTGCTGTTATCGTAGCTAAACGACGAAGAGTAATTGTATCTTGCGCGTGCGAAAATCACCATGTGGCTGCCGAAGAGTCTGGAATCGCTCGAAGCAACGTAAACGCGAAATCGTCGTCGATTGTGCGTCACTGCTCCGACAACTGTAAAATGTAAAGGCATCGTCGTGAAATACCGGATTCGATGTATGTATTATGATACACATGGCGAGTCTTGCGAACGTGCACAGATTATTAATTGTGTTTCAGCGTACGTAAAAAAAAGGATTTTATTATTTACCCGTTCCCACAATGTGGAAACTTTCGTTTTCATATATTCTTTTTTTTACGAATTTTTTTCAATCTTCGAATTTCCGACGAAACTTAAAAAAATTGTAAATATAATGTTGTTAGGCGAATCGAATGAATTCGAGAAGTTTGTTGTTCGATCGAAGGGAGTATAATCCGTGAGGTTAGATCGACTAATGGGTGAGTAAAAATGTTTCAATAAGAAGTCACAGTGAAAGATATGTGACCAGAAAGGAAATGAGGAGACGCGAACCGGAAGCGGCGAGCTTCAGCTTCCGCTTCGTAACACGTCTAGCTACCGCGATGTGCGGTACAAAATTTAGGCAACGAAGAACTCGTCAGACAAATTTCGTTCGTCTAATGACATTTTTGCATTAACCAAGTCCGAGTCGATAATACGATTAAAACAAGTTCGCTAATTGCAATTAACACAGCACACGTTGAATTTCAAGACGTTACACGTCCGATTATGTTCCGACGTAATTACAGAGCCAATCCGTTATTTTATAACGTCGTGAAAAAGGGGGGAAAAAAGGAAAGACGAAGAGGAGAAGACCGGAAATACTAGACGGGCAACTTTTGCATTCGCTAGAAACGATGCCGTTACTCGTCCGGAATTTGTGGCACTTGCATCTCCGTCTACGTCTCTCATCAATCGAGGAAAATCACCTTGATTTGACGTATTCTAAAAAAAAAAAATAACAAATAATGTATAAATAAATTATAAATGTATAAATGTATAAAAAATAAATAATAAATTATAAATATATAAAAAATAAATAATGTATAAAAAATAAATAATATATAATATTGATAACTTACAACGGGAGACGCAAAAATTTCGAAAAAAAACGAGGAATTTTCGGTTTTTGGAGAAAAATCGAACTTGAAGATTTATCAGAAACTTGAATTTAGCTAGTTCTATAGGCGACAGAAAAGAATAATAATTAACAGAAGAATATCTACGTACGAAAATAGGTAAAAAGTGTAGAATAAAATTTTTCTGCAAAATTTTTTCTCGAAAATGACCCTTTAAATAAAAAAAAAAAATTTCATTCCACGCTTTTCACTTATTTTCACTTCCTGTCCAGTGTGAAATTAACTAAATTCAAATTAATGATAAATTTTCAAATTCTCGAATTTCTCGAAAACAAAGGCTTCTCATTTACAAAATTTTATTCGTCCTTTTCGACTCGTAGGATCACTTTCTGTCCGGTTGTGAGACACCCTGTACGTGTTCCCGACGTTTCTGTCAATACGCATTGAAAGTATCGCGAGAAGCATTCGATCGGCCGATAGTCGCGCACATGCGAGTGCGCGTGTCGCGCGTTTGTATACACAGGCTTCGTTCGTTTCTCGGTAACGCGATGACAATGAACCGGACGCGTTCGCTGACACTTGCAGATTCATATTTCTCGTTGTTTCCGATATATCCGACGCTCGGTCGTCATTGTTCAGAAAATAATAATAAAGAAAAAGAAATAGGTTAGAAGCATCATATTTACAGATTTATAATTTCATTGTTTCCAATATATCTTACGCTCGATTGTCATTGTTCAGAAAATAATAAAAAAGAAAAAAGAAATAGGTTAGAAGTTGAAGCATCATATTTACAGATTTATATTTTTCGTTGTTTGCGATATATTTTAAGTTCAATTGTCATTCAAAAACATAATAATAATAATAAAGAAATAGACACTTGCTGATTCATACTTCTCGTTGTTTCCAATATATTCGAAGCTCGGTCGTGGTTATTCAGAAAATCAAAAAAAGGAAAATAAGTTACAAGTTGAAGCGAGTATTGTGATTTAGAGCGATGTACATACTATTGCTTATTACCGTGTATGTACGTATATACTAAACACGTATATGTATGATATATTTTGAAACAAAATATTTACGAAATATTTTGATATCTAATGCAAATGTATATTTCATAAAAATAGCAAAAGTTACCTTGTAACTTTTACATACATTCTTGGGTTTCAAATTTTATCGATTTCAATTATGATCTTATTACAGGTGGCAAAATTCTAACCTTTGTTAAATATTTTTTTACTTTTGAACGATCTAATACTTATTAATACTTATTATATATTTATTAATATATAATATATATGTATAATATATATATATATTGATAATACTTATTAATATTTACAATACTTACACATTTTATTAATACTTATTATAAAAGAATATTTCGTACATATCATCTATTTAGTTTAAAATTTGGAAATATTTTGCGAATAACTGAATTCTGTTTTTTTGCCAGACATAACGAGAATCTTTTCTCGGCAACTTTTGTTCAACCAGACGGTAAACAAAGACATATCGCGGACGAAACTCGGCAGTTCATTTCGGATTGCAATTCTAGTTGTGACTGACATCAGTTTTGTAATTGAAAATTCTTCTGGGCATTGATAATCAAACGGAACTCTTTGCGGGTGGCAAAGTACAAATAAAAATACTGTTATACCTCTAGATTAGAGACGGATAATTCGTATTGTAAAAATTGAACTCTTTAGAGTCGTGTGTTCGTTTATAACGTTTTCAGATGTTAACAAGTAACCTGTCAAGGTTACATTATAATATACGATTATATATATTGATATTATTCTGATATATATTATTATTATTATTAATATTACATTATTACTATTAGATTATATAATTATTATACACCGTCAAGTCAATTAATAACACAATTTTATTTAATTACAAAATCTTATTTTATATAGTACTATGAATACTACTTACTTTATATAGTATTTTTATACAGTACTTTTATATATACTTTTATATAGTACTTTTATATTTAGTACTAAGAATTACTTGTTTGTTTCAGATTAAAGAGTACAACACATCACCATGTCGAATCCGTCGTTGAAAGACCTGCCAAAAGTAGCCTTAGACTTGAAAAGCGAGTTAGAAGGTTTCAATCATGGCTGTATGAAGAAAGCAGCGACTGCTGAAAAGAACGTTTTACCTTCCGCCGAAGGTAAATTCATCCCTTGATGCAAAATTTTCCCGTTGCATCTTAACACTGGAACAACCAATAATCCCGAACAATAGGACAATAAGGATTTTAGATTTTCTTTTTTCTTGCAATTGCTTAATCGTACGGATCTATTTATTTTAGTCGTTATCATTTAAATAAGAATGACATTGCATCGCAGAATTCGATTACGTATCGAAAGCCGGTTGTCTAGTGTCAATACGATTCTCTCACGATTACGTTGTTGCGTGACTTTATAGATATACAGAGCACTAATGCTAATAATTTCATCTTTTTTTTTTCTCTCTCTCAAATGATCGATTGTAATGCATGTTATATTGTAATATATAGACGTGCGACAGGAACGACAGCATTCTGAATTAATCCACGATGTGGAGACATTTAAAGCAGACCAATTGAAACATGCCGATACGAAAGAGAAGATCATATTGCCCAATGCCAAAGGTATATCGCCCGAGACTTCTCTCTAGGGGAATAATTCGTTCTTTGGTTTCCTGCTTCTATTTTTGGACTTTTGGCAACAAGAGGAGAGAGTAGGGTTCTCTTGTTTTTGGTGCTTCAACGTGGTCGAAACATACGCGACAAAACCAAGCTTATTTACTTACGCTTTCAGCCTTGGAAGGAATTGATTTGCATGTTTGGTATTAGGGTTGTCTATCTGATAGTTCACAACACATGACGGTGTGTTCGTTTGGTGATAAAGGTATTTGAAACGTCGCAGTAACAATAAGGCTTTGATCTTTCTCGCTAGAGGGAACTGTTTAAAAACAGTGTATTCAACTACGTTAATAATGCAGTTCTCCACAAGAAACTTGTATTCGTTTGTAATTTGAATAAAATTTGCACTGTTTTTAAAATAATTTATAATGGCGTAGCGTTGCGATGAGATTATCAGTTGTGTAGTTGGGTGCTATTCCACTGGTTTTCACGGTGACAGTACTTTTTCATAATTCTCTCGTACGTGTTTCGTGTCCTGTATTTTAATCTCTGTTTACGTCTTGCAGATGTAGCTGCGGAGAAGACCCAACAAACGCTGATGTCAGGAATCGAGACATTCGACCCGAGCAGTTTGAAGCACACCGAAACTCAAGAGAAGATTTTCCTACCTGATATGGATGGTACTGTACATTCTTAATCTTTCGTGTATCTTTTAAAAGAAATTGCAATTTCGAAGTGAAGGAAATGTGATTACGAAGAAAATTTATATCAAAAAACTTATATCATATTAAAAAGTAAAATAATATTAGATGAATAAAATTTATATCAGAAAATTTATATTATATCAGAAAGTAAAATAATAATTAATTAACGAGGCAAAATTGTTCTGTACAGTGATCCAGCAGGAGAAGGAAAAACAAGAATTGATCTCTGACATTGAAAATTTCAATCCCGCAAAATTGAAACACGCGGAAACGCTTGAGAAAAATCCCTTGCCTACCAAAGAAGGTGAGTTCCAGAAAATTTGAAACAGATGTACTTTCAATGAGAGACCAAAGCTTTTCTTTCCTTTCTTTTTTTTTATTGAAATGATGTTTTTTGTTTCAGCAATCGACGCAGAGAAAATAGCTGCTTAAAAGAGAAGCTTTCATAAACGGAAAGAACGGAAAAGAAAGGGAGCAGCGACTCGTCATTTCTTCCATTTTCTATATCGTGACATTTTATAACAATTACTCATACATTGTCGAGAAGAAAAAAGGAGAATGCGAAACACTGTGTTAATGTAATCTTATGATTATACTTATCCTACCGCCATGAGCGTCCCTTTCGGCGAGACGCGCAAGTCGACTTTTACACGAAACTATTAACAACGGAACGACGATGTAGGTTCAGGCCCAAATTTAAAAAAAAAAAAAAAAAAAGAAAGAAAGAAAGTAAGATGCGATGAAACTACACGCACAGTCATCCATTTGATTCTTAACTATTACCAGCGTTGAAACAAGTTTGAGCTTGCATCGACATTCGTTCTTAACACTAACTCGCCAAAGGATGTACTTTTTATACTAAGAAAAGCTCCACGCAGGCAAACGTTATTTTCGATAGCAACAAAATTGGTAGCATTGCATGCGTTACAGAATATCGCAATGGTACAGCGGTTGATCTTATATTTCTGTAAAAATCATATTTTATATAACGGGCTATTGTACTTTTTTAATATTTCGTACACGTCGCATTGTCATTCCGATGAAAATCATGACGAATAAAAAAAATAATTTGTAAGAAGGAGCCTTATGATATATTCAAACCTGCTGTTTTATTTTGTATTAATTAAATTTATATATATACATATATAACTAATATGTAACACAGTTATCATTTGCTACAGCAGTTATCTTGCGCAACACGAGTTTTGAACAGTCGCGCGAAAGTACAAACAAAGAAAACATATATGTATCAGTGTTGGTAAGGGTCTTTTCCTAACGAAACAGAACCGGAAAGTATCGAACAACGAATCATGATTGGCTGATGAAATCTTTTCGTCCAATAGTTTTAGAGAAATCTGTTCTAATGCGAAGTTAATGAGGAGGACCTGTTGCTAGTCCTTTGGTAGCCATGCTATGGCTCTAGCTGCAAAGTAACAGTTACGTTGCACGATTTAAAAATATTTCCGTGGGACTGACTGAATTTCGATCCGAAGGAATTCCTCGACGCATTGATCATTCGTCTTCGAGCAGGTATAATTCTGTTTACAATCAACTTTTGCCCGAGACAATTAACGATAGACAAGAACGTCCTTTCATGCTTTTCCAATAATGGAAATTGTTGTCATGAGTCGGTGAAAAAAAAAAGAACATCTTCGGAATTTAACATTCAAATGGTTGCTTACGATCATTATTTCCTCACGTTTGTCGAGAATTACGCGCGGATTCGAATTCCCAACGAAAGAGAAGATTGTTCAGTTATTTTTTTTTAGTGCGGCCAAAAATGGAAATATCACCCAGAAAATCATTGAAACGTACGCAAGAACCTATTGACGAATGGCTACAAAGTGAAGGATATTTCAGGAAACATGCACCTAGAGATCCAACTTGTTTATTCAGGGCAGTAAGCGAACAAGTCTACTTGACGCAACATTATCATATAAGAGTTAGAAAAGAATGTGTAGAATTCATGAAAAAAATGAAACACTTATTCACAGAGGTGGATAGAACATGCTTGATTAGTCTCATTAATCATTAATGGTAATATGAACATTTCAGTTAATACATGTTGCTTTGTAGAATATATCAATTCCATTTGAGGATTACTTGGAACAAATGGCGTGTTTTACGGAATGGGGTGGTATGATCGAGATCCAAGCTATGTCGTTGCTTTATAAACGAGAATTCATTATTTTTAATGGACAAAAGCAAGCTGGTCAAAATGTTACAAATAATGGTTTTAAAGATGTGATATACTTGTGCCATACGCCACAAAAACAGTATGAAAGTATTTATACAAAAGACTTTGTTGGAAATGCTGCTTTTTGTCAATGTATGTGTCTTATATACTCTTAATATTCTTTTACATTTATATATTAATCATGAATATTTTAAAAATTGTTTGTAGCTATCGTTTATCAAGTATTATACAAAGACGTGTTTAAAATGGCTAATATAGAAACAACGGTCCATAAAATGTTACATGATAGATCAACTACATTTAGACACGATAAGTTTTTCCTTAAAGACAATCTAGAGATTCGAGAGTAAGTCAGATAATAGTTACATCATTGGTGTACGCATAGTTTAAAATGTTATGTAAATACAATTTATTTATGTTTAGTCAATTGGCTGCAGAGATATATAACAAGATTGACAGTGGGACTGACGAGGTTGATGATGCACAAGTTGTTGTAAAGAACATACCGCCTTTCCCTTATAGAATTGCCAAAGCTCTTGATCCTAACATCTATCGTAATACTGATTTTGATATATGGCACGAAATTAGACGAGGTAGTAGAAATTTGTTTCTATCCAAATGTACCATCACTTCAAGAAAGGAAAAATCATTTGACATATTTTAGAGGTGAAAAATGCAGGATGGACTAGGCACAATAGTCATGAACTCCAAATTGGTGGCAAATGTTTAGTACAAGTGGACTTTAATGAGGAAGAGTTTGACAAAACCAATAATAATAACGTTTACGTGCCATCTTTTGAGAAAGATTCCAATGACAATGATACTAAATTATTGCAAAAGAAAAGCAATGATTCGGTGTTTTATTATGGACACATTCAAGAAATGAGTAAAAGTCAGGGACCTGTGTTAGTTTTTATTGAAGAGTTAGGAGAGAAGAGAATTGTACCATATTCAGCTCTTAAGCCGTTGCCCCCAAAGAAAAATAAACAAGCCAATTGGTTGCCAGTTTGCAAAAAGAATCTACTCTTAGATTCAAGTTAGTATATTCTAGTTAAATTTTTATACATCTTCTACATATTTATGTTTCATTATAATAGATCAAAAATGGAGAAAAGCGTGTGGAACATCATCTCGCAAAATCAAAGAGTCTGCTAATATGAACATTTTATCAAGTAATATTGATAAAAGTGAAAATAATAGTGATATTGTCAATGACATTAACGGGAATAATTTTCAATGGAAAGAAATGTCATTGTAAGTAGAGTTCGTTATGTTAATTATTTAAAAATAAACATTTATTTATTTCATTATAGGAAAATGGATCATCAAGAATATGAAAATTATTCAGTGGATAAATGTCCTAATTATTCAATTGATGTAAGCTATAAAGAATCATTTAATTACTGTAAAGTCCAAAGATATATAAATTATTATTGCGAGATATTTGTTTTATAGAATTCTGTTGAAATGTTTCCTTCAAGAATGATTCTTGACAACACTCAGTCTTCTACAATGGATATTGGAAGGCAAGAAAATAATAAAGAACGTAAAGAAAAGAGTTCGTTCTCACAGAAAAATTCTGAAAATAGTTTTATTAGAAATTCAAAGTCGGATAGTCCAATGAAAAATGATAATAATGCCGCTTCATATTCAAAACAGAGAGTGCAGAAAGAAATATATTATTCACCATATGCTGGTATAAAATTAAAAATCACTTAAATTATTATATATAGTCGGTGCCATTTCTATGCACTGGATCATTTTATTTAACATTTTAGGAGATTCTAATGCCCAAATAGACATGCGTTCTATTAATTGCTCTGTGCAAAAGAGTATTGATGTTAATGGCAGTGATTTACCACTCTCAGGTAATAATGCGAATTGCTTTTGTATATATAACTTGATAATGAAATTTATAAATAATCCTTTTTACATCCCTGTAGATCCATTCACTTTGAGATTTTTTTACAATTTAGGATTGGAGGTAAGAATCATACAATTGTTACAAAATCACAACTATATGTCATTCATTCGTTCTAAACTATTTTATAGTATTTTCGTGGTGGTGCCAATTGGAATTATTTAACAAATGGACAATCACCTAATTTTGGACAGTGGTATCAAGGTATATTGTCTGTATGTCTTTTATGTTAATTTCACACATATATTTATTTATTTATTAATCGAAAAGGAGCATCTCCAAATGAAGAAGAAATTACAAATATCACGCATAACATGATCCAAGATTGTACGGTAACGCAACAGAAGAAGGAGCCTAACAGCGACCAAAATGAGGTTGGGGTGCAATCACTGTGCCAAGAGAATGGAGACAAATATGCGAATGATACCAAAAATACACAGATTCAAAAGACCGAAGTTCAAAAAGGAAATGATGGAAAAGAAACGTCTTCGTATTCATCCCGTGACAATAAATTGGAATCTGCGAACAAGGAATCTTCCCGTTTCAATAGAAATGGGTTAGGTCCACGTTTTAAGAAAAATTTCGAGAGTAAGTAATAAAACACTGAAATAACTCTTTTCGCATGCGCACACGTAGTTGTAATAAACATTTATCTTTCACGCAGATCGATATCGATCCTCCTCGCATTTTGCCAACCAATACTTGAGCAACGGATCGAATTCTAAACTCTCCAAGTTGGAGAGAGATACGAAAGAAAATACCATGAACGTTCAGTCTCCACACTCGATGCATCAACAGTTACACGCACCTGCGAATGCAATGAATGCTTACCAAGCGTCTTACATGCAACAAGGCATGTATCCAGGACTGCCGTACTACGGCAACGAGGCAGATGCATTCGCAAACCCTTACTATTCTCTCAATCCAGGTTTCATACCGATCCCGTGTTTACCGCATTCCGATATATACGACAACAACAATATGCAATCCTTCTCGCCGCATTTATGCCCCGGAATGGATTATACACAGGCTTACTCTGCAGGTGTATGTCCGCCGTACTTGTGCCCTCCGTCAACCCCGTTCAACATGCCGCCGCAAAATATACCCGAACACTGGTACGCTGTTGCTGGACAACCGCACTACATGCAATACACGCCGGTGTTGTCGGTTCCGACGGAGACATCATGCAATGGGGTAGCACAAAACGCTAATCAAAATGCTTCGTCTTAAAAAATTGATTTCGCTAAGTTGTTACTTACACACTTTCCGTAAAGTTCCTACTATTTTTATATAATTCATTGTTGGATAGTTCCATATTGAAGTGAGACAGATGGATCATTGCGTAATCACAACAGGTCATTTTTAACTGTATAACCAAAATAGTATTAACATGTATAGATATATAAAGATATATTACAGAAGAAAAAACTTTGTAAACATAAATATCGTAATATATATAAAATTAGAATTACAAATTAAAAAGTACAAAAGTTGAATATTCAACGTAGGTTTTGTAACGGCTCTCGTATTAACCTAATAACAGTATAAATTATTTATCTTTGATGTTAAGTTGCTGCGATACCTGTATAATTGCATTTCATTTTGAGATACGGCTTTGTCACTGTACACGAGCCGCCTAAAGCAATAGATAGCCTTCTGAAATTTTATACAGGTGACACACATACACACATTTTTCAGGTTTAATTAATATATATACTTACTCGTTCGTTATTCACTTGTTCATACAATATTTTTTCCTAATAAAAAAAGCAATGCAGAAACGGATATCCATCTTTTTACCCGTGTAAAAATAAAACTAGTCACGTCGCTTCGTGCAACGTGTCGTTCGATTCTATTTCAAATTTTCCCTCTCTACATTGCTACCAACGGTACGTGCGCGCAGCCGATAAAAGTCACTAGACATGTTTTCCGTGCGCCACGAATATTTAATTTCGCGAAAGAAAATACAACAAACAACCGCGGTTAAACGCGAGATAAACCATCCCCGATCTTTCGTTCGTCTCTTTAATCGTCGTCCGTTTTTCGCGTTTCAATGTTAATCGCGTTCACATCGGTCGTCAAAGCGTCCGCCATTGGACGGACGGGCACGGTTCTAAACCGGTGAGGAAGGTGCGCGCTCGGGATCTTTCAATATACAATAAACACCGTGGTTCTGCTCGCTGGTATTCCACGCCATGACTAAAATTTGTCGGAAGAGTAGGAGTGCGGTAGCTGTGACAGGTCAAACAGTGAACAGCGAAATTACTTAATGCCCGTTCGGGCTGTATGGTTTCTTGCATCGTAACGTGACGCTGACGGATTATCGTTCCATCGGTTCGTTGTTTCTCGACTCGGTGAATTATCGTCGAGAACATCAAGTATCCACTCCGGGATCTGCTATTTTCGTGGAAACTGAACTCGGGACGAGAACGGGGAGAGCAAGCGCAGAAACTGAAAAAGGAATGGAGGTTGGTCGCGGCCAGTTTATCCCGAAAATTAATGCCCGATGTGATCGATAGCACTGTGTCCCCTGTGAAAACACGCGATAGCACGTATCCTGCGTTTATGTTGCACCCCGAAAACAAGAACATTGTCCCTGTTTGTTTTTGGCTGTGCTCGTGTTGTTTCTCACTCGCCTAATTGAATAATCGGGAACGCACGCACATTGGATATTTCCCTCGCGTATTATCTACCGTCGTATGGCAGTGACTGTTCTCTTATTTTTTTCTCTCTTTTTTTTCCCTTTTATCGAATAATCGTCGTTGTTTATTAATTTTTGCACACTATTAGTATATAGTATATTTGCATACTACTTGTATATGCGACAATCTAGATTTTTTTTTTTAAATCGTATTTTAGAGTAGTTTAATTTCGTGAAAACTGTAAACACAGGATGTTCAGAGAAGTACATCAAGTAAGTTGAAATCAGTACTTGATGGGTCATTATGAGTTAAAGAGGACACATGTATCAGATGCTTAACTCGTTTGTTTCTTTTTAGATTCATTGTTCCATTGTTCAAGTTCAACTAGGCATGAACATCGGGTTATTTGTAACAATCATTATGACTTTGAAAATGTACAAAGAACTAGTGCAAACAACACAGTGTATATGACACGACAGCATGAGAAATAGAATTTTTGGAATGAAATGATCATTAAAGCATCAAAGTTTGACGATAAATGATTGTTAGAACATAAATTCATGCTTACAAGTCATTAATTTAAACGTCACTTTTAGTATATATATATTATATATGGACTTAGATTGATTCATCAAATACAATAGTACCATTTGGTTTTCTTCTAGAACACTAATATATGTATAATGTTTGTTCCTAATATTTTCATGTGAACATTGTGACTATAGGTAGACGAATGTTCAGCTGGTGGTGACAGCGGGGCCGAAGAAGACGAGGATGATGCATCTTCTCGAGGATCTAGAAGTAACAGCAGTAGCAGCAGCATCAGTGGAAGCAGTACTTCAACCGACAGCGGGGATGACAGTGGAGAAGAACATGGTACAAGCGGTAGTGAGACCCACAGTTCTGGCGAAGAAGATGAGGAAGAGAATGACAACACGGAATATTCTGTCAAAGCGGAGAGTCCAGATACTTTGGTCTGAGATTTTATATTTTTACATGAAATTACGTAAAACTACATGCTTGCTGACAAGAACTTCATTTTCAGAAGTGGGAAACATGCATCGCTGCAAATACCAAGATAAAACTGCCACAAGATCTCTGCGAACATGCAGCCATTTTCAAGGAGTTTTTGGATTACCCTTACATTTGGAACGAATGCCTTACTGAAAGTCAAAGGGAGACTCTTTGTAACCTTCTGCCAGTTTTCCCAAAGGATTGCGACGCGGAAGCTGAAACTGAGAAAACCCTGCGTATGTTATTCGAGCGTGAAAATCGCAGGTTAGACAGAATTAATCGCCTTTAACAAAGTTTCAAACGTAAAGTATAATTTTTATGTTTATGTATTGTTTATTTTTAATTTGTCTATATTAGATTCGGCGTAGCACCTTTGGACGCATTTCATAGTCACCTGTCTGCTGGTCATTACCGACCGGACATCAGAAGAATGTGCAGCTTGGTTCGCAAAGCGCAGCAGAGAAGATTGTTGTTCGAGGAACGGAAACGATCTTACGAGCTGGCCAGTCAATTACTGAAGTCAAGGGAAAGTTTGTTGTCCAACGCGTATAAACAGGGTTTCTGTCAACCGGCGCAACGAACGGTGTCGAAGATCCAATGGAGGAAGCCGAAACCTGCTATGGGTAAGTTAAGCTTACGCCGCGATCGATTGTAAAAAATTTTCTGGCTGTTTATACTTCCCCCACACTCCAGCCGTTTGGCAGAGAAGTATGTAGTAACTTCCGAGGGACAATACTAACAAGCAATGAACCGACAGTTGAAGAGAAAACGCAACTGCGCTATTTGGAGGAACTGAATGCACTGAGGACAGAGCTCGGAGCGAGCGCGAAGTTAGCGGCCGACACAACGTCCGAGAACGAGGAGAACTATCCGCACTATCAGTTGTCTGGGGCTAAGCAGAAGAAGAAGAAACGCTCGTTTATGGGCGCTCAGGGATTGTCCATTCGAGGCTTGCAAATAAATCACGAGGATGAGACTATCCGGCCTGTTTTCTCCACGCTGCAGCGGGCGGAATATCCTGCGAACAGGTCTCTGTTTGTACGCGAACAAACGGAGGAAATGTACCGGGAGATGTTGCTCGAGCACAAGAAGAGAAGAGCACGGCGTGATGTACGTAAAATTAACGTATACGATTACGAAATCTAATGACATTGATGCACTAATGTTTATCGTGTTTCCTCAGATTCATCCAGAATTGAATACGCAGGGCATCGCTCTTGCCGATTTAACTCAACGAGCGCAGATCGGACAGAAGCACAAATTGTCGCTCGGCCCCGCCGTACGCATCACGCCGGCGAAGAAGCGAATAAAGATGGAGCACTCGCCGCTGTGTCCTCCGGCGCCGAGATTAACGAACTCGATAAAACACGAGAGCGACAACAGCGATTATTCTCACACGACGGACGAGAACAGACATTCCAACGCGTTGGACGTAGATCACAGAATGCTGACGCCGATCAAGTCGGAGCCTATAGACGCGTACGAGATGCATCAGTTGTCCAAGAAGAAACTGAGTCCCGTCGCGTTGAAGAGTGGCAAGACCTCGATGATGGCCGCTCCGGAAATAAAGAAGGAAGTGGAAGACATGGAGTACGACGATATAAAAACAGAGCTCGGCACAGGAGTGAACGAGGACCCGCCGTTGGAAACGGAAGAGGAGGAAGAGAACGACAAGAAGGAGCTCGACTTGGACAGCATCGATATGATGCAGCTGCCGATACAGCTCGACGATGGGATTGATATATTGGACGACGTGAAGTGCGAGGACGAGGGAGTTATATCGATACCTGACAAAGAGATCGCTGTCCCGTCGAACGAGGACGCCATGGACATCAACAGCGGGGCGGAATTGATGCAAGAGACGCACGCCTGTTTCTTCTCGTTGTTGAGAGACGCGTTCACCTCGAAAGGCGAGTATAGAATGAGCGCCGGGGAAATGAAGGACGCTGTCACCCAGTGGCAAGGAAATCCCATTTCACCGTTGAACGATTGGTATTCGCTGGCATCCTCTTGGCCAGCACTGGTCCCGCTAGCTTTGGGATTCCTTGCCGGTGAGCTCACTTATTCCCAAGACATAGGTGACAGACAGGAAAAAGAATCGGAGCTTGTTCCCTATTTGGAAAACAAAGGAAGCGGAGTCTATGCGTGGATCGGTGCCGGACGAGACTCAGACTCGCGTCTGTCTGACTTGTGTACCAAGTTCTTGATGCACAAAGATTCGCTCGGTCTGGTAACCGTGAAACAACAGAACCAAGCGCCTCAGGTCAACAGCAGCGCCAACGTTAACAGCAACTCTGCAAGTGGAAACGCAAACTCGAGCGGCAGAGATAGCAGTCCGGCGATGGAGTCGATCAACGTCGATGGTGCGTCTGTCAACACCGTTACGGAATGGGAGCCACCTCGCGCTCTCTGGCCCACCGAATGGAAAGTTCGACCGTCCACGATGGAGGAGCGAGACGAGTTCAGGAGACAAGAACGTATGCGTTACGCTGCACCTCACAAAGCGTTCACGTACAGAATGCACGGTTATGCTTCTGTCGTGGGCCCAGTGAAAGGCATTTATCAGCACAACGTCGGTACGTTCGATTCGACGAATTTCTAGTTTTCGAAAATTTTTAAATTAGTTTAAAGTTTTTTGTTTGCCTTTTTGGCTGTGAATAATGAATACACTCGTCATGAAGAAATGGCAATTTTTTTTGTATAACGGCGAATACATGCGAGGTCGTGCGAGAAGAGTAATTACAATTTTCTACTTGAATTAAATTTTTTGTGGAAGATAAAACCTATTTGTAAATTTTAGGGATTTTAGAATATTTTAAGACTAGATTTAGTTCTTCTTACATCGTTTATAAATATTTTCTTGCTATTAGTATTAATTATTAATTATTATTAATTAAGTTAAACAATAGGATTATTAATTTTTCAAAAAAAAAACTCATGTCATTTTCTTATAATTTAATTCAATTTTAACAGTAGCTGCACATATTCTTATATTAGTTAAGGGATTAAAAAAATGAAACAGGTCATTATTATATATACATTTCATTTAATTTTCATTTCCAGCCTCTGGTTTAACCAAAGCTCGAGGACACTCATTGCTGGTGGCGGATCGACCAAACTTTGTGACCATCCTAGCCTTAGTGAGAGACGCCACCGCAAGACTTCCTAACGGCGAAGGAACTCGTGCCGACATTTGTCAATTGCTGAAAGACTCTCAGTACATCAGGGAGCAGACAGAGAGCGACGACAAGGAAGGGTACTTGCACTCTGTAGTGTCTGGAGCTTTAGACAGACTGCACTACGAAACAGATCCGTGCGTACGGTATTATCCACGACGCAAAGAGTGGCTCTACCTTCATCGAGCACGTTCAGAATCGGAATTTGGTTTGTATCTACTTGAAGACATTGCTCTCGCGATTTTGGTCTTGCGTCTTGCGTTTTATACGTCGAAGATTACATTGTGCCTTGCCTTTCTTTGCAGAAATGTACCATCAACAGTTGCAAGGTGTTGCAAAGAATAAGAAGAATGGCGGCAGTATGTCTCGAAAGGCACTGCCGCCGGTGATAAAACCTACTGGTGCCAACAAAGAACAGTCTCCCAGCAATAATAAAGAAGCTACACCTAAAAAAGAAAGGAAAACCGCGGCGTCTGCTATCCAACCTGTCATCTCGAGGTGAACTTCAAACTTTACCTTGCGAGGAAAGTTTTAAACAGTATTTTGATTGCACATTTTTTCTTCTCTTTGCAGGAAAGAGCAAAAGAAAACTGAGGAGAAGAACATGAACGATCATTCCGGTACTACGGAACCCGCTGTGATCACAAATATAGTGACAACAATCAACACGCCAACGACTTCAGTAATTTCCATGTCGGGGACTACAGTCCCAGCCACTACGTCCCTCCCGACTTCCTCTACTTCTATCAGTACTATCACCGTGGAGAAGGACATAGCAACAACCGTGGACGTAAAACCGCAAATCACTGCGAACGTCCCGGCGAAGAAGGCAACGAACATCGGTGGAAAACCGGTCGCTGTTGTGAAAACCAGTGCCCAGAGTTTGCTACAGTCGAACCAGCAACACTTCCCACATCATCAGATTCAAGTGTCAACGTCCGCTGGTCTGCAGACCATTCGATTGTCCGGACACTCCGTGTTGCATTCTGCTCAATCCATAGTGGCCAACAGTACTTCCAACGTGACGAACGTCACCACCAATTTAACCACGATATTGCCACCCACCAAACTACCGAGTCAACAACAGCAACAGCAGCAATCGCAACAGCCGCAGCAGCAGCAGCAGCAGCAGCAAACCATGATGGCCAACCAGGCTGGAAAGAACATCTTGCAAGCTGCTAGTATAAAGCAACAACAGTCTCAACAGCAGCACGTGCTGCCTGGAAAGACTTTGCTAGCCTCTCAGATCAAACTAGTCAGCTCTGGACAAATCAAATCGCTCCTCACGGGTCACGGGCTTCAGGGTCAGACGATATTCATCAAACAATCGTCACCATCTGGCAATCAGTCGCAACAGATACAACAGCAGTTGAAGGTGCGAATTTGATTGAATTCCTACTTTATATTTTCTACTATGCGTATTTATACTTCGTATAATCCAGCGTGTTTGCGTTTTAGCAGCAACAGCAACAGCAGCAGATCCAGCAGAGAGTCGTTACCAATCAGCAACAATCCATACAGACGTCGGGCATGCAGCGCATAATCGCTCAAATTGGAGGGAAGCCAATCGCCGTGCAGATTCAACAGTCACCGCATCAACAGCAACAGCAGAAGATACTGGCGAAAGTTCTAACGAGTTCCGGTAGCGGGCAGCTCATCTCGGTGGAAAATCTGCTCGCGCAGAAGGGACTGAAACTGGCAACGACGACCAGCCATGCGAATCAACTCGCCAGACAAGGGAAACAAGTCATACAAACTCAGTATCAGGTATATAATCCTTTCGTTTGTGTTTTTTTTTATTCTTTTTCCCAATCTCAGCTTCCATTGATCATTTCCGATGCGACTCTCAGGTAGTGTCGCAGGCACAGACTTCGTCGGGTCAGTCGAAGATCATAGCCAGCACGCAGCAACAACCACAACCGCAACAGGCGCAGACCGTTCGAATGGTGACGGCTCAGCTAGCTGGCAAGCCGATAGTTTTGGCAAGTGGCAACAAAAACGTGGGAGTCGGGGTGAGCAGCAGCGGGAGCGTTGTGCTTGGCAAACAGCAATCGTCGCAGCAACAGACGCAGCAGCAGCCCATCATCTTGCCGAGCCAGTTGCTCAACATCAAAACGTTGCACGGCTTGAAAGTGATACCAACGCCAGCTGGGTTGAAGACCACCGGTGCGGCGGTTTACGCGCGGGTCATTGCTCCGACCACTATAACCTCATCCCAGTCCACGGGAAATCAGCAACAGACTATACAGACGCAACCATCGAGAAACAACACCTACAGCGCACCTTGACAAAATTGATGCCACTCTTTCTCTTTCTCCCTCTTCATTTATCCTTGCTCCAATCTTTACTTTTAATTTCCCGTAGTTCAGACTCTTCTGAGGAACACATCGATTTATATATGTATAAAAGCAAAACGTAAAAAAAGAAAAAAGAAAAACATGAAAGTTAGTAAAAGCTTGTACGTTGTACACAAGCACGTTGTTTAGGTTTGGCAAAATTAGAAAGAAGAAGAGAGAAAAAAAAAAGGAAAAGAATCGTCCACAGTTTATTCTTCGACACGTTGATGGAGGATTTACACATGAAATGAGAACACACGTGGTCGTGAAGTTTCTTTTGTATTTGAGTGTCGAATTATTTACAGATGCATGGTACGATTTTAAATACAAAAAAAAAGAAAACAGAAAACATCGTCGTTTCTTCTTTCTCTTGTATCAAGAAGAACTTTCTCTCGCGAGCGTTGCATGTAACGCATAAATAAAACTTATTACTTAAATGGTACGTCATTTAAATTACTGCTTTCAGAAGTTCTCTCTCGCGCGTCATTGTTAATAGGAAGGCTTAACTACGAAATACCTAGGCGGTGACGAAGAGCCGCCGCCGCCGCGTCTTTGGTCCGTTTTCTGTCGAGAGGACATCGCGTCATAGCAAAAAAAAAAAAAAAAACAAATCCGTCGATTTACAAAAGTACAAAGTGGTAAGAGCCGTAGAAAAAGACTTGGTGTGTTTTGCATCTACATTTGCAAGATCAAGATACTGTGTACTTGATATCCTCGTCGTTGCAGCGTCAACTTGTATCCAGGAGAAACGATCATGCTAGTATTACGTCCTCTCGGAATTCCATATGTCTTGGAATATGTCTATCAGATTGTTCACACCGATCAGATATCCGTCCTCGTGATTTCCCACTTTCCACTCGGCGTCGTGGCAGATCCTCGGCAAGTGTTGAGGCAGAGGCAACGTTTTCGCGAAGTCGATCATCCAGATACCTGCGTTCTTGGCATCGTGGACGAACAACAAGCTGGATCCAATGACTTCGTGCGAGGCAAAGAACGGTGATGCTTTTAATGTGGCCCTGATCGCCTTCAGACGTTGAATGTATTTGGGCACAGCGTGCGAATAGCCTTCCACAAAACGTCTCAACGCCTCCGTAACCTAGAAATTAATTAGAAATTCGATTTCAATTTCGATGAAATTATATCGTTGCGATCCTAACCTAGAATTCTACAATTGACAAACCTGTTCTCGAGTCCTCGTCGTTTTGAAATCCTTCGACGAGCCTCCATGGGCGAGTTTGATACCTTCGACGCGGAAACCTAGTGTAGCCGTACTAGAGATCGTTTCGCGCCAGACCATGTACCTTGGTTTCGTGACTCCCTGCACCCGGCGTTCCTCGGCGCTCGGTGCTGACGGATCCACCTGCACCATTTTCTCGTACATGTCCTTTCGTAACTGCGCAAAAAATCGCACTGAATACCAAAAAGACACGAGAGACACTACTACGAAATATTAAATACGAAACTGAAATATTAAAATACTAAATATAAAATATCAGAAAATGAATGTTAAAATATTAAAACGCTAGATATAAAATACAAAATATAAAATACTAAATATAAAATATAAAATAAAAATAAAAATATAAAATATAAGATATAAAATATAAAAATATAAAAAAATATAAAATATAAAATACTAGAAAATGAAATATTAAAATACTAAATGCTAAATACAAAAAAAGTACTAAAAAATACTAAATACTAGAAATACTAAAATTTAAAATTAGATAAATTCAAGAACTCTGACGGAACGTGCTGCGATCTATTCGATACTAATCTATATTTCTGTAAAGGCGCGAATTGTGCGAAATAGCGTAACAACGGAAATTTACATTCAGTGATGCTCTTTACTGCGGTGTAATTACACTAGAACAAACTTTAGAATTTCAGAATTAAAATTTAGAATTAGAATTAGAATTAAAATTGTAGAATTTTAGAATTAGAATTCTGAGGAATTGAAAGAAATGACTAAATTAATGTCCGTCTTATAAGGAATTTGAAAAATCAACAAAAGAACAGTGTTCCATTGTGAATTACTGACAAATTTCGATATACACCAATCGGATTTCAAAGATTATCTCGCGGTAAAGAGATTATATATTATCGATGTAATAGATAGTAAACGTGTTTATTAACATTTATCTTGCATCAGACTCTCGATTATCGCGTCTTGGCCAAGATCTGCGATTTCGACAGAGAGATAAATTTATACGTAAAACTTAAATTTTCTAGCCTTACTTAAATGTAAAACACCCTCTAGTGGCGTACAAGTTGAAAAAGTAATATACGCGAAGGTGGTATAGCGACTATAGTTCAGTAACTGGTGAGGTTAACTGACGTCATACCTTGGGTCTTTCTTTGGCTTTCGCGAGTTCCGATTCCAAGTACGTTCTCACTCCAACTTTGCAGTCCATCACGCACGGATGTTCGAAATCTCCAAGAAGATCTTGCAACTGCAAGTAAGAGGACACTACAGTCCTCTTGGTCACGTTGTCACTATTGCCATCTTTCTGAAGGGTCTGCCCGGCCTCGTTTCCCTCAACGTTACCTTCCTCCGTATCATTTACGTCCAATACACCCTTGAATTCCGGAACGTACGGCCTCAGTATGTCGTTCATTAACAGACGAAAGCAAGCTTCTTCCTGGGGGCAGAGTTTCTTCAGGATCGTTCCTGGAGTGGGTCCCGCTCTGAAGTTCCCTTGATGACCCGCTAGTTGTACCTGAAATTAACACGAGCATTTAGATGTCAATTACACCATTTGTTAGTAGAATTTTCAGTCAGAATATATTTCTAGGTGAAAAGGCTATAAGGTGTTATGAATTAGCAGAATAGAAACTTCTTAATATTAATTACACTATTTTTAATCAAAATTCTTTCTAAACACAATAGATATAATTACAAATTAGCAACAGAATTAGAAACTTTTTTATGTCAATTACATCATTTGTTAGTAGAATTTTTAATCACAATATTTCTAGAAAAAAGGTCAAGATACAATTATGAATTAGCAACAGAATTAATTACAATTAATTACACCATTTGTTAGTAGAATTTTTAATAGAATATCTCTAGACAAAAAAGGCCATGAGATACAATTACATATCAATGGCAGAATTAATCAGTTACAATTAATTACACTATTTAATTTAATATTAATCGCACCATTTTTCAATAGAACCTTTAATTAGATTCTTTCTTGACAAAAAGTGCCATAAGATACAATCGCGAATTGAAATTTATTAATTCTGAAGAATTTCAATTAACACTGAACTTGTAATACAGAAATAATTATGCTCACCCACGGATACCGTTGTTTCTTGTAGGTTTGGAAGAAAGGTGTCCAGTGAACTATATTCCTGAGTTTCCTCCAGCCTGATGACTAAAACAAGATTAAACGCAAGATCAAACCTCATCATAAAGAAAACTCACTCTAGTCATTCTTCAAATCTTAAAGTCCTAACTTCAAATCACATTCCAAAGAAAAAAGAAAAAAAAAAGAAGAAAAAAGGAAACTTTATTGTTCAATGATATAGGAAGAAACAATTCGTTGCGTCCGGAGGAACATCTATTTCCGGTCGTTACCTTCGGCGACTTTCTCTCGTTCGACCTATCCGCGTGATCGGAATCCCATTCAGAGCTCAAATCGTCGCCACTGCCCTCGCCCCATTCCAAGTTAACCTGAGGCACCTCCAGCAGCCTCAAGTACTGCTGGTATCCCGAGCAATTCTCCAAACAAGCCTCGTCCCCTTTGTTACTCTGACATTTGTTGCACCTGGGACTTCTTTTATGCTCCAAGTGGATCTCGTCGCTTCTTACAGACACGCCTGTTCCATGTGTTTTCAACTTCAAACTTTTCCTCTCCTGGTCTTTACATTCGATGAAACTGTTCCTCAGTCTCTCCACTATACAGTCTTTCCTCTCCTCGTCATTTTCATTCACTTCCCTGTGAAGCTGATCTTGTTCCGACTGAGAGGACAAGCACGATGGCGATGGACTCCTCGAGGAGGAAGTCGAGCGACGATGCTCGACGATGCTCGACGATAATCGCCTCGAGCGTCTCCTACTCTTCGACCTCGTTATTCTCCTCTGCGTTAAGGATCTTCTGTCGCATTCTTCAGTCTCCACCACGCAGTCCTCCAGCGCCGATTTCGAGCAGATCACTATCTTCGGCACGGTTATTCTGTCGTAAGTCTTCTGCATTTTCGATGCTCAACAACGACACACAAGAAACTTTTACCGGACGTGCGAGTCTTCCGACACTTTCTCGAATCTTTCTACGTAGAAAGAGGAGCTGTCGCCTCGCCGGAGCGAATTGTCACCGCGAAGACGCGGCGTGAAGGAACTGCACCGTGAAGATTCATAGCTCTGTCGTGTTATTCGACGGAACAATACAAATTCCTGGCGGAGCAACGGACTGGGACGTAAACAACGGGGGCGTGTCCCAGTTCTTCGAATCCCGAACTGGATGTTAACGAGCGTGTTAATAGGAGATTCTCGGAGGAGGCTCTTTCACGCCTTCGTTTGGGAGGGAGGGGAACCTTTTATCTCCTCGTGCCTTTGTTCTCTTCTATTTTGAAGTTTGTCCAGTTCCTTCGACCTGGAAAAGTCAGTCAACTTTGGAACTTTTAGAGACACGTGCCCCCTTCTACTTACACAATTAGTAAAAATTCTTCTTTAGACTTAGAATCTACAGTCTTTTTCAGAACATTCTGTTTTTCTTGAATTTTTGATTGCAACAATTGTCTCTACACCAGTTTGAAAAGTGTGATACATCCGTTTCAAAGATTCTGCGCGAGAGGATCTGGAAATTTTTTCCCCAGAATTCTCTTCCTTTGATTCAGAGTGCTCTCCCCCTGAGAATTAAGAATTCCCCACAGATCCTCCTCAGATCTCTTCTAATTTAATGGAACCTTGAAAGAAGAAAAGAAGAAATCTCTTCTCTCTGTGAAACTCGCTGAAAGCTGTCGGTATTTCAGTGATCTTCTTTGACTCTGAAGATTTCACTGAGACGAAAAAAGAAAAAAAGAAAAAGAAAACGTTGCACCGACTCCCCGATTGGGCGAGTGATTATCCTCGATACAATCGATAATCGAGACAATTTTTTCTCTCTTCTAGACAGCTCGCGGTCAGGATCATCATCGCTCCTTGGAGGGCAATCGGATCGTTCCGCGCGGCTGTCGGTTAATTGGTAAGCGGCTCGACGTCGGTAATTATCTCAACGACGAGCTGCGATCGAATCGAGACACCTGGGGACCGACTGGTAGCCTCGTGTCGTCCACCCACGCCTCTTCCTCGAGACGAAGGCGAGCCAGGCACAGTGTGCCACTTTTTTTTTTTATTCCGCTGTTGCGTAAAATGTGTTTCGTCTCTTCGACAGTTCGAGATGAATTTCAATTTTTCTTCAAGAATTTGAATGTACACTGAACACAGTAATCTTAATTTTTTTTAATTGTAATTGTACAGAGAAAGAAACGTATTCTTAATATTCTTCCTTTTATACGTGTACCACTATTATGAATTCATTTCCAATTTAAAATTTCCAATCTAATTTAATTTCCTGAGATAACTGTACAGAGAGAAACATATATTCACAGTGTTCAATAATCTTCACTCCCACTATTATGAATTCATTTCCAATTTAAAATTTCTAACTAAAAATCTAACTAAAATTTAATTCAATTCAAATAAGTCTCTTCACAGTTTAATTCCCTTAGATTATAACTCTATGGAGAAAGAAGAAACATGTATTCACAATGTTCAATATATTCTTCACTCTTTATTACATACCACTATCACGAATTCATTTCCAATTTAAATGCATCAATTAGAATTTAACAAGTCCAACTCGGACATGTCTCTTCACAGTTTAATTTCCTTGAATTATAACTGTATGCACAGACAAAGAGAAATATATTTAATTTCTGTCACTTTCTGCTTTCTTTATGAATGTTTTATGTATGAATGTTTCTTCAAAATTCTTCGCAATGAGAGTCTTCAATAGTTTCACTCTTCTTATCCAGAAAATAATTTCAACACTTCGTTTCGTCTCTCTCCTCTTTCCAGGTTTACAAACTGAAGTCTCTCGTCCGACTTCCAAGAGTTCCTCGGGGTCAAACGAACCGCGAACGATCTGCGTAATCAACTTAATGACGCAAATTGATCGTCCAACAACTTAGCTGGATCCGACGGGAGAGCGAAGGATTATAGAACGAAGCGTGCAGTCACAGCGTTTGCAGGAGTCGTCCGCAACGGATTCATAGTCTCCTCGACGAGTCACAACAACAATCGACGAATCCCCGTCGTGCAGTTACGACGTTTGTCAAGTTTCGCGACGCGTCTCGCGATTAATCGCTGTTTACTTTCCGCGATCGGCCGATTACGTAATCGTCGTTGCAAAGCGAAACGTGACGCTTTCCAATCGCGGCAACACGTTTAATGTATACCAAAGCGTTCCGCCTCGAATTCCTCGCGTTGCTCGCGCGTTTCCGCTCCTTTTGAAGGAGGAGGAAAAAGAAAAAAAATTACCGGCAGGATCACCGGGCTATTAAAGACTAAACGAGCATCCTCTCTCTCTTCTTTCCTCTCTTTCTCTCTCTCTCTCTCTCTCTCTTTCGTTAGTACATCTATAGAGATAAGTCTCTGGACGTTCTTCTTCTTCTTCTGGAGTTGTTGTTCGTTTCGAAGATTCGAAGATCTCAGTACACAAAGTCTTCTTAGAAGTCTTTTTATAATTCTTATTAATTCTCTTCAGCTTTTGAGCTTCTTCAAAACTGAAATTGTTTTATAATTCTCATTAATTCTCTTCAGCTTTTGAGCTTCTTTAAAACTGAAATTGAAGGAGACAATTTGGCAGATTTTGAACGTTTCTTTTTCAAACTCTGTAATAACAAAAAGAAGTTACTTGCAACTTGATGTAGGCGCATCCCAATGATCACTAGTTTGTTTCTATCAAAGATAGAAGGTTCTAGATTTTAGAAAACAATGAAGATCGTTCGTCAGGATTCGTGGATTGAAACCAGGAGTCGGGAGCAGGATTTTTCTCTCTAGAGCACGTGTTCTCTCTCTGTCAGCCGTTGCGTAAGAGAAATTTCTTTCGGGCTCGATCGTCTACTGAGAAAATTACGTACACACAAATTAACACGCACACACAAAAGGCCAAAAGTCAACGAAACCTGTGGATTGCCAGTTCAACGATTATCCTTATTTTCTCATGAATACTCGACTGACTGTACGCAACGATTCTTCTTTCTGCTTGTTCAATTTACTCGTTCATAAAGGATGACCCACATTCGCAAAGCGACTGTTTCGAGTTAATTGACTGTCCGACGAGGCTCCTCGTGACGGACTCGACAATTCCTCCGGAATATTGTCTCTCTTAAAACGCAGATGACAGAAGATCCTTCAAGTTCGCTTCAAATCCTTCTCATTGATCGTTTCAATCACTTAGAAAACCGTATTTCCAATAATTCGTCATGCGTGTGTGTGAGTGTGTTCTTCAGTTTCTTCCTTTAACCTAACCTCCGTCCGTTCGTTAACACTAGCTCTCCATCAGAGACGTTGAAGTCTTAAAAAAAAAAAGAAAACTACGATACAAAGAAGTTTGTTGCACAAGATATTATTTAAACACTTTACGAAAGAAGTATACCGTTTCACACCTGTATGTAAAATATTTGACAAAAATTATAAACTGGTATAAATCTTGACCGTTTTGGTTAGTTCTACATCGATGGAAAGACAGTTGAACAGTTCTTCCGCGTAACGTTGCACACATCGGGCACTGCAGCACATCCTTGCAAACCACGAGAAGGAACGATCACTTCGCGGATGTAAACGATCACTTCGTGTCGAGAGAAAAAAAGCAGGGAAAAAAAATATTCGCGGACGATAGATTTCTTTTTTTTTTTTTTTCTTCTCCTTGATACCGCTGCCGAAGCGCGAGTTCAACACGAGTTGCGGCTCGAGGAGAACACAGCCGACTCGACGACGATCAAAATGCGTCATCGACTAATTAACTGACGCTCGCGAGCGTCATTAGCGTAATTATCAGGAGTGGATGAAACGTTGGGGCGATCCGGAGGTCGGCGGGCCTCGGCGGTTCAACACAACGGAAATCAATTCACCGGGAATTCCCCGTTCGGCCGCTTAGTCTCGCGTCTCATCACCCTGTCGTTCTCCTCGATAATTTTTACCCTTTCGCAAATACACATACGTGTGGTGCACGATCCTTTAAAAGTGATGCAAGCCAGAAAAAGAGGAAGAAGAGGAAGAAAAGAAAAAGGGAGAACGAACAAGAGAGGCACAGGTTTTTTTGAAGTTTCTCCTCCGATCCAAACAACAAGCCTAACCTAACCTAACCTAACCATTCGAACAAGTTGGTTAACTTCACAAGTAAGCACTAGAATAGAACTTCAACTAAATAACTAGAACAAATAACCGATCGCTTCTTTTTATATGCAGGTAAAAGGATAACTGCAAAGAAGAAGAAAAAGATCAAGTAAAACTAGGAAAAAAGAAAAGAAAAAAGAAAAAAAGAATGTAAGTTGTACAATTTATTCGTTACCCAATGCAAGAAAAGAACATTACGTGCACGAAACGGAATTTAAATTAAGCTTTCAAAATGCGGCGTTTAACTAAATAGACAAAAGACTGATTTGCGCTATTTTTGCATATGATGCATTCGTGTGTCGAATAGCAAAGTATTTGGTGCAAGTTATAACATGTAAAGTATATATAAAAGCATTGTGATGTATTTGTCTAATGATTCTGATTTCTGATTATTATATATCATATAAATTTGTTCGATTTTGTATTCAACTGTTCACGTTAGGTCTTTGACATTTCCAAATATTTTTATCATTTTCATTGAAATTGTTTTGACTAAGGATCAATAGATTTCTTTGAGTTTATATTCAATTGCAGTTAAATTTGATTCTAGATGTTTTTATCATTTCTGTTGAAATTGTTTTGACTAAAGATCAATAGATTTCTTTGATTTTACATTCAACTGCTGTTTATACGTTAGGTTTTGGATTCCAGATATTTTTAAAATTATTCTGTCTGAGAAGAATCAATGGATTTCTTTGATTTTACATTCAACTGCTGTTCGCACGTTAGATTTTTGTCATTTTCATTGAAATTTTAAGTCTAAATTGTGTCTAAGGATTTCTTTAATTTTCTTCTACCTTTAATAGTTACTGTTTATATACTAGATTCTTTCTGAACTGTATCAGAAAAGCATGCCTTTCAAGTGTTGTGCAAACAACAAAAAATCCTTTTTTTTTTCAAGATATGGATCACACTTGGGTAACTGAAAACAGATTGTTCGCACAGTTACTCAAAGAATGAATAGAAATTCAGAAATAGAAAAGAAAAAGAATTGAAGAAAGAATGAATTATTTAGACAAAGTTTTAAACACTTTACTTTAAATACTTAAAAGTCATAGTTCTCCTACTTTAATACTTAAGCAGGAGAATATCCAAGCTTAATCTATAAAAGTTTTTTTGTGCACCATTTTCTTTCTCTCTGAAAACTCCAGGAATCCAGTCATTAGAGACAGAAACTACTACGTTCATGAAAAAAAAATAATCGTGATAAAAACTGAACTGCAACTACCATCATCTACAATATACAGTATTATCCTATATATATATTATTCTGTCCTGTCTTATATATTTTACTATCTTAATACTGTTATTAATAATTAATACCTATTAATATAATAATACTATTATTCTATGTATCCTACTATTAATAATTAATAATACTATTATTATTAATAATATTATTTTATGTATCTTACTCTTTGCTTTTCTGCGAAAAATTTTTTCCACGCAAGCGAGCCATTAGACGACACATCGAACAAAAATAATTTTCAACGAGACGCTTGAAGATTATTCAATTTCACGCGTTTGACGATAATAACGCTGGAACGACGAATTCGAACGCTTGGTATGCGTAACGGTTGCGTAACCACCGCGTAGAAATTGGGTCTGCTGCTCGAGCACGCGTGACGTTTATGGAAATTTTACGATATTCATAAATTTGTACGCGCTTTATTATCAGGGTTAAATACGTCTTTGCGTGCCTCTCTCTCTCTCTCTCTCTTTTTCTCTCCCTCCCTCTTCAAGTCATCCTCTTGCTTCGTCACCTCTTTGAAAGCAGATCGTCTCTCTTTTTAAAAGAAACACTGACTAATGCTCTCCTCCACTTGTTGACATTATTGTGATAATAATTCATTGATGATGATGATTCTGAGGTTGGGACTTGGAACTTTCATCCATGTTCATATAGATATTTGTGAATTGTGAATTATTTCCA